GGAAACAAAGAGAGAAAGAGAAGCAACCGAGCAGACCCGCTCAACAAAACCTGCTCTCTCCCAATCAGACAGACAAACAGACAGACAAACAGACAGACAAACAGTCAGACAGACAGACAAACAGACAGAAAGACAGTCAGACAGTCAGACAGACAGACGGCAGGCTGCTGTGCTGCAAGCCGCCCACCGACTACACTAAAGAAGGCAAGCAACTGACTGACTGACTGATACAAAAAGAGCACTCACTCACTCACTCACAGCCAGCCAACGATTCACACCCATTGCCCGTCAACGGTTTGTTGACCAAAAGCGACCATTCCACGACGACTATCTGCCAAGGCTCCCGCCACGCACACGCGAGCACAGTGAGTCACCGTGCAAACATGCAATCCGACAACTGATCCTGATCTGATTTGATTTGCCCTTAGGTCCGCCAACACGGGTCTGCCGCTGCGACTGAAAGGCACGAGAGCCTCCCTCCAAGATGCCTCGCTCCTTCAGGCACAGATCACCCTCCGATAGCCGCGGTGTCCGGCTGATGCTTTTGCTTGGCGCATGGCTGTCTCGGGCGGAGAGCTGGTCTCCACGGCGTCACTGAGAAGGAAGAGCGGTATAAAAGGGGGATGAGGATCGTCGGGAACTGGCGCTGGGTTTGGGTTATAGGGTTCATAACATCCGAGCTCGCCGCAGCGCCAATTCCGCTCTCTTCCTTGAGTGAGTGCCGGTTGACAAGATAGTCATGGACAGCAGCTGGGACAAGAATCATCTCTTCGCCGCTGCCTCATCACGATCGTCAGTAGCAGCTGCTGCTGATGCTGCTGGTGACGACGACCGGCCGCAAGCATCGTCCAGCAGCAGCAGCGGCAGCAGCTCGAAGCCAAACAATCCAGCAGCCAATGTCGGTGTGAGCGCGCCGCTCTCCCTAACCATTCTGGACAGCCAGCTGCATCCCATGCTGCGGGAGGAGGACGGCCTTCTCTCTGTTCCACATCCCCTGCCCCTCTCAACACAGCAGCGGCAGAGCAAACTGGTGGCCCACAGGAACGCCTGTGAGGCGGCGGCAATGAGTGCCGCCGTCGGTGACCCATCTGACGGTTCCAGGGCGGCGAGAGCGCCCATCAATCGGCGCAGGAAGACGGTGCTGAGCACGTCGCTGCGACGGGCTGGTGGTGCTGGTAGCGGTGGGTCGGCGTGTTTTGCCAGGGGGTACTATCATCATCATCATGACCGTCATCACGATGGCGAGATGGATGGGATGGATGTCTGTGCGGCCAGTGGGGGTGTTGGTGATGGTGATGGTGAGGGCGGTGTTTGCGAGAACGGTCGGCTGCGTAGGCTGGAGCGTGTGGCGGCGCTGAGGGACGGTGGCGAGAAGGGTGGTGGTGGCGAGAAGCTGCACCGAGTGCCGCCCAGGGGGCTGGCGGCCATCTTGAGGAAGGACGACAGGCACGACACACTGGTACGACAGACACACACTGATATGACAGCAAATCGGCAAGTCAACCACGCACTCACGGCGGGCATGTGTGTGTGGGTGCCTTTGTTGTGTTGGCAGTGGCCGTGGCTGCGTGTGGGCAGGGATCCTCAGGTATGCATCTGCCGCGGAAGACGCACACACACACACACACACACACACACCAGACACACACACACACAAAAGAAAACCGATTTTCTGTCCTTCTGTCGTCAACAACCAGGGCATCCCGTGGGAGAGCCTGACTTCCCAGACCCGCTCAGACTACCGCCGGCAGCGGCTGCAGCAGTACCAGCAGCAGCACGGCCTCCTGCACACCACCGCCACCCATGGCAACCCCGACGATGACGACGACGACCCCGACTACCATGACAGCCCCTCGCAGACAGACAGCGACGAGGGCCCATCAGAGTCGGGTTGGGGAGATGGCGGCGACAATGATGAGGACACACCCATGACGCCGAGTGAGCATGGTGGTGGAGGTGAGGGTCACCACACGCCCCAGCATCACCAGCAGCAGCAGCAGCAGCATGGTCAGCATGGTGGGGGTGGTGGAGGGTTGACACACGGTGCTGGTGCTGGCGGTGGTTTTGGCGCTTTGTATGGCGGCCCCCAGAATGAAGGCACACAGGAGGAAAATGCAAGACGGCTCAGGTATGGATGGGGGCACACACATGGGCGTGTGTGTTTCATGGTGCTGTGTTGTGTGTGTCAGAGCGATATCGCTGTGTCGTCCGGTGCGTTCGAACCAGCACTATGCTGAGCTGGCGAGGTGCTATGCCGCCGTGCAGCCCGCCATCATGCACTTCCAGGTCACACAATCACACACACACACACACACGCAGGCACACACACGAGAGCATGGCTGTGTGTTTGATGCAGCTGCGCCACTTGCTGTCGTGCGGCTCTTCACGCCACGAGGTGTACTACGTCGGCAACAGAGACCGGACCACACTCACATCCTACAACCTTCTCAGCGGACTGTAAATAATGACTGACGCACGCCCACACACCAAACCACACACCAAACCACATGTGTTGAGCCTACCATGTGTTGATGTGACGTGTGCAGGAAGGGTGTGATCCATTCTTCCCCCGACGGGAACCCCTTCACGTGCTGCGACGTGCGGCACGGGCTGGCCGTCACGGGATCCATGAACTCCCGACTCATGGTGCCGATGGATGGCGATGGGACAGGGGGATCTTGATTTGATCTCTCTGTGTGTGCGCGGTTGGTGTGTGTAGGTGTCGTCCCTGCGCGGCGCCAATGGCCATCCTGTTCACCAGCTGGTGCGCGCGAAGACCACAACACATTCTGACCGACAAGGGTTCATTCATCGAGAGAAACTGTTTGTGTGTGGTGATTGTCCGTGCATCCCCCCGACAGCTGACGTCTCGCCGCACAAGCGACACGCTTGACGACATCACCAACTACGTGTCCGTCATCCTCTCGCTCACCGGTGTGTGCGCCCCGGCCTCCCTCTCGCTCTCCTGTGTCTCTCTATGGGGTCCGTATGTATGTGTGTGTGTCTCTCAGGGATGCCCCGTGTGTTGGCCTGCAACAACGACGCCTCCATCAAGGAGTTCGACCCAGAGACCGCTCGTGTGGTCAACAGCTACCACCTAGAATGGGCCGTAAGCACACACACACACACACACAGAGGGAGAGGGAGGCAGCGTGTGTGTGTGGTTGTGTGCAGGTGAATCAGGCGTCGGTATCGGTGGACGGCAAGATGGTGTGTGTGGTTGGGGACGACAAGGCCGTGGTGATGCTCGAGAGGGAGACGGGCGACCGCATCGCCACACTCCACGGACACTGCGACCACGGCTTCGCCAGCGACTTCCACTGCGATGGCCGCCTCTGCGCTACGGGTACGTCTGCATCTCTCTGTTGTGTTGTGTGTGCATCTCTCTCTCTCTCTCGGGGTGTGTGTGTGTGTGTGTCAGGTAACCAGGACAACACGTGCCGCGTGTGGGATCTGCGTCACCTTCGTCGGAGCGTCAAGGTGCTGGGGTCGCAGATGGGCCCCGTGAGGTCAATCCAATTCTCGCCAGACGGCAGCCTGCTGGTCAGTCTGCAAACCTCCCTCCCTCCCCCTCTCAATCTCGGTGTGTGTGTGCCTCTCTCTTTCTCTCTCTCTCTCTCTCTCTGTGTGTGTGTGTGTGTGATCAGTCGTGTGCCGAGCCGATGGATTTGGTTCAGCTGTACGACGTGAGGTCTGGCTTCACGCACCACCAGCAACTCGACTTCTTCGGCTCCATCGCCGGTACGTACGGGGGTGTCTGTCTATCCCTTTGTGTGTGTGTGTATGTGGGTATGTTGGTGTTTGTGTGCAGGCCTGTGTTTCTCCCACGACAGCTCGACGCTTTTCACTGGTCAGGGGGCGGGGCGGGGTGTGGTCTGGTGTGGTGGGCACGTGTGTGAGAGTGGTGTGTGGTGTATATGTGTGTGTGTGTGTGTGGTGTGTGTGCAGCTGTGCAGGACAGCTCATTTGGGGGGCTGCTCGAGTATAGACTCTTGACCTGACTGATGGACAGACAAGAGCCATGAAGCTCATGACTGATACAGGCGTGTGTATGTGTGCATAACCAAGTCTGCCTGTAGTGGTGGTGGTGTGTGGTGTTTCGATTGCGATTGCACCTCCATGTTTTTCTCGTGGCTCGCCAGACGGTCTGTCTGTGTATACACATGACACTGATCCATGCGTCGTGCAGTCAGTCTACTCATTCACTCATCATTCGGAGAAGTCCATCCGCGCCCTCTTCTCGTCACACAGCGTCTCGACGATGGCGGGGTCCATCAGCACGGGATCCACACACCGCTGGCTGGCCGACGTCACAACCTATAAACACACACACACACAGAGAGAGAGAGGGGGAATGGCCTCTGGGGCAGGGAGGGAGGGTCACACTGACCTCGTCCAGCAGGCCGTCCAGCCCGTTTGCATCGTCCTGCTCCACCAGCTCGCGAATCATGTCAGACAGGAAGGCACAATCGACCTGAAACACCCACACTCTAGATGGATGGACACAAGAGACACCACCAGACACACACACAGACAGACACAGACAAGCGTGGGTACCCACCTGTATCTGCTGGAGACCGAACTTGCCGAAGGTCTCATCTCTGACGAGCTCGTAGAGCGCCTTGAAGGCGATCCGCAGGATGCCTACCACCGCGCCATTGCGGTTGAAAGGGATCTCACTGCACAACGAATGGCGCACACACAATGATCCACACACAATGACGTCTGTGTCTGTGTCGACGCTAAGCTTACCCGAAGATGAGCACCTTCCTGGCAAACAGCCTGTCCATCTCGAGCTCCATCTGGGTGCGGCGTATCCTCAGCAAGGCGGATGAGCGAATGGCGTGTTGTTTGGGTTTCCTGGGGTCGCCCAGCATGCGGGCCAGCTGGTTGTCGGCCTCCCGCACCTCCTTGACCACCACCTCCATCACCCAACGGACGTCACGCGGCTCCCTGCAGACAGAGATATGTGTGTGTGGTGAGGCACCGAGAGAGAGGGAGCGGGGGCTGTGTGCACACCTGACGTGGAGCCAGTCGGGGGTGCGGATGGATTTCCTCAACAAGTGTGACAGCTGCTGACCCGTGTGAAAGGCATACGCACTCAGCAATCGCTGCGCTGCCTGACAACCACACCACACAAACAATCAGTCAGTCAGTCAAGTCCCGGCCACCTGTCTGGTCTTCTTCGTGAGCGCCGGCACGGTGGTCTGTGCGAAGGTGGTGGACTGCTGCCCGGGGTACTGTGCCACCGCCATCTGGCTGATACGCTGCAGTCCCCTCTGCTCCAGGTGCCGCCCGATGCGCACGAGGGCTAGAGCGAACAAGGCGCGCCACTCGATGCTGCCACAGACACAGAAATCGACACACAAGGGGTGGGGGAGAGGGGTGTGTGGCGTGCCTTTGGAATTCTGCGATGAGCTCGTCGCTCATGGATGGAGGGAACCCTTCAAGTGGCACATCCTAACCACACACACCACACACGTGTGTGTCTATGATGTGGCTGTGCGGCTCAAACGGGCTGACCGACCGTTTCTCTGCCCGTGACGATCCTGCAGAGGGCGGCGAATGTCTCGAAGAGGGTCGCAGTGTGTGTGAAGATGCCCTCCTGCAGGGCCTGCTTGGCCTTGGGCGCACTCACACCGGCATCCAACTCCCCTACTGACAGATACGGGGCCACCTCCTACATGGACACACACATGCACATGGACACAGAGATCTCTCTCTCTCTCTCTGTGTGTGTGTGTGTGTGACGCACCGTCAGTGTGAGGGTGGTCTGGTAGAGCACCGAGTGCTCCACCTTGCCCACCCTCTCCAACACGCTGTCGGCTGTCGGCAACTGCTGCTGCTGCTGGTGCTGGGGGGTGCTCTCTTTCGGACTCCCCTCACCCCCACTACCACCAGCAGCAGCGGCACTTGACACACTGGGCGACTTGATGGCTGTGAGGGGGCCGCAGCACCTGACAGAGGGAGGGAGGGAGGGAGGGACAGAGAGGGGTGAGGCTTTGTTTCCTCTCTCTGTCTGTCTGTCTGTCTGTGAGTGTGTCGGTGTTTCTTACTGGTGCAGCTGTCTTAGGTGGTTCAGAAAGAGCTCCGTGTTGGCGGCGAAGCGCAGCTCAATCCCCAAACCAGCTGCACAGACACACACACACACACATGAAAGGCGTGTGTGGGGGGGGGAGTGTGTGGGTCTCTCCCTCTCTCTCTCCCTCTCACCGATCCGCATAGGGTATTTCGGCCACGCCCTGGCCACTTCCAACACCGGCAGCCCCCTCTCCCCCCTCCCACCCTGCTGCACAGCCACCCCCACAAGCCGTAAACCCTCCTCAATCACCTTAGGCGCGATCGCCCCCACCGAAGACGACACACTCTCGACGGGCACCGTCTGCGGCAGATCCACCGGCATCAGCGGGCGCTTTCTCATCAGCGCGCCGAGGGACTCGCAGAGAGAGGCCATGTTGTCGGCGAGGAAGGTGTCAAGCTTTGTGGGGTATGTGTCTGGGATGGTGCTGGGGATTATGTCTGTGTTGAGCTTGAAGGCGGCCTCGGCGCCCCGGATGATGTCGCAGAGGGGCGGGATCCAGGAGGCGGCCACGCCGTGACACGCATCGACGAACGGCTCCCTCTCATCCTCGGCATCTCTATCTCGCCGTTGTGCTGCCGCCTCTTTCTCCGCCCTAGCCAACACACACAGACACACACACACACAGAGAGAGAGAAATGCGCCCATCCACACACCCACACACACCCAGACGCACCTTTCAACAATGACTTTCAGCCGTCCGTCGAGTGCGCGCCTCCGTCCTTGTAGGAAGGTGTCGAGCATGGCGGTGGGGTCCTCCCCGGCCAGCAGCAGCACCTTGACCAGATGGACCGCAGAGAAGGTGCCCAGCGGGTCGTCATCGGTCTCCCTCTCCCTCTCTGGGGGCGGCGCGTCGAGGCGAGATTTCATTGCGCTTCGGGCAGCTGACATGAGAGCCCACACCTGACAGACAACCAAACACATGGATTAATGGGTGTGTGAGCCACACCCTCCCTCTCCCTGTGTGTGTGTCTGTGTGTGAGAAGATACCTCTTTAGCGACGTCAGTGAACGCCCCCGCGACCTCGACGGCCTTCTTGGGGTGCCCCTCGGCGGCAGTGGTCTTGTCGGTGAGGCCCAGGAAGACCTCCCACCGCCGGTGGGTGCGCACCGCCGACTCGAAGTCACCGCTGTCCAAGTACTGACACGACACATGGATCGGTCAACACAACACATCAAGGGAGAAATTGGGGGGCTGCTGGGGGAGGGGCATTCGTACCCTCTTGAGCACTTGTGGAAGGTTCTTGAGGAGCTGCAGCTTCTGCAGCACGTTCAGCACACCAACCAGCTCCTGCAATGCCAAACCACACCAACACACACACATCCGCCCCCTCACACACACACATAAAGAGAGAGAGAGAGATTCCTACCCTACCCCACCTGTATCTTCTCGGGTCTGCCGGCGAGTGTGGCGTTGAGTCGAGTGCTGCACTGGTTGATGGAGTTGATTCGCTGTGTGAGTCGCGACATTTCGCTCTCCATCGACTCGATGTTGGCCTTCATGGACTTGATGGTGTCGGTGGCGGTGATGAACTTGTTGTAGTTCTCGTAGACCAGCATCTGCATGTCACCGTCCAACGTGCTCACCTGCACACACACACACACACACAGAGAGGGGATGGGGGAAGTGGCACACACACACACACACACACACACACACAAACACAGAGAGAGAGAGAGAGAGCCCACCGACCTGCTCGGTGAGCTCTTTGCTCTTGGTGAGCATCTGCGACAGCTCCGTGTTGGTCACCAGCTCCTGAAACCAGCTGTGCACGTCGAAGTTCGGCCCGTCAATGTCGCTCTTCGACTCCCGCCGCACACCCATCCCTCCAGACGCCGACGACGCCTTTGCACTGTCATCCCCTGCTGACGCTGACGATGGCTGCTGCTGGTCGCCGCTCTCGTCGAGTTGATAATAGGCACTGAGAAGGGCGCCTACACGGTGGTGGGAGGCTGGCGGCTGCTGCTGCTGCGTGTCCGAGTCGTAGTCCGCTTGGGAGTCGGTGTCGTCCATCACGGTGTGGCCAGATGGATAGATCCGCTGGTGGTCGCTGCTGGGAAAGAAGAATCAATGACGCGGGCTGATTCTCGGGTGGGCGAAGATGCTGCTCGCGGGCAACACCGTGGCAGCCCCTTCTTTGTGTTTTGGTCCCTTGAAAAATTGCGAGCTTGAGGAAGGCAGATCTGCAGCCTGAGGTCTGAAAACGCCGGTCTGGTGTGTCTGGTGTTGGTGTGAGAGGCGTGTCTGATCTACGGGACCGTCCGGTTTTCCTGGTGCGTGCAGCGGTCTGTCTTGTTGTTTGACGAATCGGCTTGATAGGCAGGCAGCATGGTGAGAGCCATGCAGACCAAAGAGGGAGCCATGGTGAGAGGGCGGGTACACGGGACACACTGAAAGGGAGAGGGAGGGCCAGAGGGGGAGTGGGGAGGGCCTTGATGCATCGGTGGGGAAGGCACGTCAGTCAAGCTCCACTCCACTCCACTCCCATTGTGTGTCGTGGGTGGAGTGGATGATGTGCTTGTGTGATTGTGTGGTTGGTTCTATGCTATGCAGAAGGCCAAGGCCAAGAAGGCAGCGGCGGGCAAGGCAGCCGACGAGGACGAGGAGATGGACATCCCCCTGGTCAAGCAGGCCAAGGCTGGCGGGGCACCCAAGGGCAAAAAGGACAAGGAATCTTCCAGTGCCGCCGCTGGTAGGGACTCTACACACACTCATTCGCTCGCAGAGAGAGAGAAAGCGATGCATGTGTGTGTGTGTGTGTAGCGGCCGCGGCTAAGGAGAGGTTGGCCGCCAAGAAGCGTCCCCCGGTGGACGAAGGCGATGACGACGATGACGATGACGACGATGAGGAGGAGTCACCCACCAGTACGCTAAACACAGATCCATCCATCCACCCTCCATGTGTGTTGATTGGCAGCTCGTTCGAAGGCCAAGATGAAGGCGGCACCGAAGCCCAAGCCCAAGGCCAAGGCGGCCCCCCAGCCGGCGGATGATGACGACGACGAGGACGACGATGGCGATGACGACGACGGTATGAGTGAACGGCATTGCCATCCATCCATCCATCCATCCATCTGTGTGTGTGTGTGTGTGTGCAGACGATGAGGAGGAGAAGGGTGCATACGTCACACACAGCATGATGGGATGGATGGCAAGGAAGACCGAATCTCCCTGTGTGTGTGGTCATGTGTCTGTGTCGGTCAGTTGCTGCGGCCAAGGCTAAGGCCAAGGCGAAAGGCAAGGCGACCCCCAAGCCCGCCGCAGCCAAGCCAAAGCCGAAAGCGGCCGCCAAGCCGACAGCCATGGACCAAGACGACGAGGATGAGGACTCAGGTCAGTCAGTAGACAGACAGGGGCCAATCATGGCAACAACAGCACGGGCAGAAGCGCCTTATTGTTCTGATGTTGTTTGTGGTCTTTCGTTCAGATGAGGACGAGGAAGATGAAGAGGCAGAGCAAGGCACGGAGGAGACAGCCGGCACACGAACAAGCACCATTCAGGTGTCTGTCTGTCTGTCTGTGTCGGTCAGTTGCTGCCGCCAAGGCTAAGGCCAAGGCGAAAGGCAAAGTCGCCCCCAAGCCAGCTGTCGCCAAGCCCAAACCCAAGGCCGCTGCGAAACCGACACCCATGGAAGATGACGACGGTATGGGAAACGGGCGAAGGGAAGACCAGACGAATTTGTTGTGCATTGTGTCTGTGCGCGTGTTTCTGTGTGTTTGCAGACGAGGACGAGGACGAGGACGAAGACGGTTAGGCAGCAGAGAGAGAGATCCATCCATCCATCCATCCATGTGTGTGTGCTGCATCCCTCCCTCCCTCCCTCCCTCCCTCCCTCCCCCAGACGACGAGGACGAAAGAGGTACTCACCCGCCCTCCCACCTACCCACCTTAGCACACACACGCCATCCATCCATCCTTCCATGTGTGTGCCTGTCGGTCAGTTGCTGCCGCCAAGGGCAAGGCCAAGGCGGCCCCCAAGGCCAAGGTGACGGCTGTGGCGGCCAAGCCCAAACCCAAGGCCGCTCCGAAGCCTGCTGCTGCTGCTGCTGCTGCTGAGGAGGAGGAGGAGGAGGACGAAGACGAAGACGAGGAGGACTCCGACGAGGAGGAGAGAGGTAGTGCGTCACGGCACAACGGCACGGAAGCGAACCATCCGTCTGTGCTCTTGTGTGGTTGTTTTGTCAGTTGCTGCCGCCAAGGCCAAGGCGAAGGGCAAGGCCGCCCCCAAGCCCGCCGCGGCCAAGCCCAAACCTAAGGCCGCTGCGAAGAAGCCCGTCGACGAGGACGAGGACGAAGAGGAGGACGAGGAAGGTCCGTCTTTCCCTCCAAGACCACACCACCCCACTCACGCAGCAGATTTTCTGAGTGGTCTGTCCACCGGTTCTCTGTCTGTCTCTGTGTGTGTGTGTGCAGAATCCGACGAGGAGGAGGATGAGAAGCCCCAGCCCAAGGCGGCCGTCGCTGCAGCCAAGCCGAAGCCCAAGCCCAAGCCCAAGCCTAAGGCGGCGGCCAAGCCCACCCCGATGGAGGTCGACGAGGACGAGGAGGACGAAGACGAAGAGGACGAGGACGAGGAGGAGGGTCAGTCAGTCACACAAGACACCATCGCACACACACGAGGGAGGGAGGGAGGGAGGGAGAGAGGGTGCTTTGTGAGCCTGTGTGTGTGTGGGTATGTGTGTCTGTGGCTGCAGAGGAGGAGGCACCCAAGGCTGGCGACAAGCGGAAGGCCCAACAGGCCATCGCCAAACAGCCCGCAAAGGCCGCAAAAGGCGGTACGTACCCACACACCACACCACCACCCCTTTGCCACTTGCCCTTCCCCCTCTCCCTCTCTGTCTGCCTGTGTGTGTGTGTGCAGAAGACGTCACGGGCCGCAAGTTGTTCGTGGGCAACCTCAAGTTCGGTGTGAGCGAGGATCAGCTGCGGGAGGCCTTCAACGAGTGCGGTAAGATCGAGGACCTCCACCTCAACGAACGGGGCTTCGCCTTCATCACATTCGCTGACGCCGCTGGGGCCAAGAGCGCGCTCGAGTGGAATGACACCGAGTTCCAGGGCAGAAGGGTCGGTGAGGGAGGGAGGATCACGTCAGTCAGTCAACACAGAGACTCATCGAGCTGTCTCTCTCTGCATGTGTGTGTGTGTGTGTGTGTGGTTTAGTTGCGCATCAACTACTCGGACAGCAAGCCGGGCTCGCGGCAGTCTGGGGGCGGCCAAGGACAGGGGGGCGGGGGCGGGGGCGGCAGACCCAGAGGGGACAAACCCGATGGCGTAAGTCAAGACTGTCTCTCTCTCTCTCTCTCTCACCCTTCAATGTTGTGTGTGCGTGTGTGTGGGTGTGCAGGTCAAGAGTTTGATGCTGGTCAACTTGTCCAAGAAAGCGACCGAAGACGACGTGCAGAACGCCTTCGAAGACGCCGGTGAGTGCGTGGGATGCGGATTGATGCATCCATCCATTCATCCATCCATGTGTGTGTTCAGGTGAGATCGAGAACATCAAGATCCTCAAGGACAGGGAAACCTACGAAGTGAGTCAGCTGAGCACACCAACACACCAACATTATCACTCACCTAGAAGAGAGACAGACAGACAGACAGACACCTGCATCCACCCAATGCCTTGCCGTGGTGTGGTCCGGTGTGTGTATGTATGTTATGTCGTCACACCCACCGCATACAAACAGCCCCGTGGCATAGCCTTTGTCGACTTCGCGACCGAGGAGGGCTGTATCGCCGCAGCCCAAATGGACGACGTCGACATCAAGGGACAAACCGTTCAGGTCCGTACTCCTTCCCCCCTCCCCCCATGTCGTTCCCACTGTGTGTCTCTGTGTGTAGATGCGTTGGGGCGGCGAGCCGGGCGGCCGCGGGGGCGGCAGGGGCGGCAGAGGGGGTGGCGACAGAGGTGCGCACACCCACAACACACCATAGAACACAGGCACTCAGACAGACAGATGCTCTCTCTGCATCAATCCTGTCTGTCTGTCTGTCTGTCTGTCTGCATCAATCAGGTGGGCGTGGCGGCCGCGGGGGCGGCAGAGGGGGGCGAGGGGGTGGGGGCGATAGAGGTGCGCAATCACACCAACCTCGAGACCCACGAAAGAGGGCTTCACTCGCACAATGTGTGTGTGTGTGTGTAGGTGGCCGCGGTGGTCGTGGTGGCGGTCGTGGCGGCCGGGGAGGAGGGCGGGGCAACGCCGCTGCTGCCGCGGCCAACAGAGGTGCGCATAAGCGGGCATAGAGACGAACACGCATATGTTGTCGGGATGACGAGTAAGTACTGCTGTGGTTGGTGTATTGTATTGTGTTGTGTTGCGTTGTGTGTGTTCAGGTGACGTGCAGGCCTTTGGCGGCAAGAAACAAACGTTCGCTGACGACGGTCGGTGAGAGAGGCAGAGAGGCAGGCTGCCAGAGGATTTGATGTCCGTCTGGCTGTGTGTGTGTGTGCAGATGACGAAGACTAGACAACCAGAGGGTAGAGGAGTCCAGTGGTGTGGGGGCTGGCTGCCTGCTTGGCCACTCGCTCACCGACCCACTCACTCCTCAACACGCAACACCATAGACACCATACCATACATAAGACACACACCCTGCCTGCCTGCGATACTTACATACAAATCCGTATACCCATCCATCTTTCATACGCTTTGTGTGTGAGAACACGTGTGTATGTGATGTGATGTGATGGGATGTGTGCGCCAGAGTTTAAGCCATCCATGACTGACTGACTGACTGACTGACCTTCACTGACTGGCCGATGCATGCTTGTGGGAGGGATGGATGGATGGATGGATGAGAGAATGGATAATGGTTGGAGGGATGGGGCCCAAGGTTTTACAGACAGACAGGCAGGGAGGGGAGGGGAGGGGAAAAGGCAGACCGACGCGGCGCACCGTGCAAAGAAAGGATAAGGCATCGATTCGACCGGATACACACGACAAGGGATGGATGGATACCACAGGAGATGTGTGTGCATATTTGTGGTCTGGTTTGGTTTGTGCGAGAGCCTGCCCGCAGCCCGCAACCTACTGAGCTGGCTGAGCTGACCGACTGCCAAACATGCATATGTATGTATGGGTGCATCCAGACACTGACGCGGACATCCATCGGACATCGGGCACCACCCATCGGGCGTTTTGAATCAACCACCGAATGCACACACGCACATACAAAACCGCTCTCTCTCTCACTCACTCACATGCTGCCAAAACCTTCAATAAAGGCTCACACACACACACACACACACAGACACACACTCACGCAGCCATCTGTCTGTCTGTCTAGGCGGTGTTGGTGACGACGTCATGGATGGCGTCGGCCACATAGCCCACATTGCCGCTGGTGAGTGCCGCCACGTTCAGCCGCCCGTTGCGCAGCATGTACACGTGCCACTTGGTCAACAGCTCCTCGCACTGCGACTCAGACAACCCTGTGAATGAAAACCTGTTGACCACACAGACACACTTGTCGATTTCTGTGTGGCCAGTGGGGCTCCTCCATCTCTCTCTCTCTCTCTCTCTGACTTACATGCCGATCTGTTGAGTGATGTGCTCCCAGCTCCCGCGAGTGCCTTTCTTCTCGATGGCCTCCCTCAGCTGCCGCCTCATCGACGCCACGCGGCCGCTCACATCCGCCAGCTGCGACTCCCACTCAGTGCGGTACTTGGTCAGCAGCAGCAGCGCCAGACGACCGCCGTGCGATGGGGGGGAGGAATACATGGGCCTGCGGAGACACACACACAGAGGGATGGTTGGGTGCGTGTGTGTGGTGGTGGGGTTGGTGTGTGACCTGATGGTTTGCTTGATGTGCGAGAGGACGGTCTGTGCGATGGGCTTGGTGCTGCAGACGACGTGCAGCATCCCCACTCTCTCGCCATACAAGCCCATATTCTTTGCAAACGACTGCATGAAAACACCCGTCCATCCATCCATCCATCCACACCCTTCAAAAATTGCTGACCGACCTGCACCACAATGCACTCGCCAGCATCGGCAAATTTGCGGACAGCCTGGGCATCACGCACCAAATCGCCGCTCGCATACCCCTGACAAAAGGACAGAAACGTGCCACTTGTATGTGTTGTGGTGTGTTTTGTGTCTATGGGCTACTTGGTAGGCGCTATCAACGAGGGGAATGAGTCTCCTCTCCCTGACGACGGCAATGATGTCGTCCCACTCCTTTGCAGTGGGGTCCATCCCAGTGGGGTTATGCGCACACGCGTGAAAGACCACCTACACCCCACAAACACCCAGACAGAGACAGACAGAGAGAGGGCATCATTGCGACCCACACACGATGACAAAGGCGCTCACCATGCTGTGTGGTTCCGCCTCTTTCAGCGCCTGTATCATGCCCTGCACGTCGATAGCCCGGCTCCACTCGTCCCAGTAGTCGTACTCCACCACCTCCAAGCCGCACGCCTCGAACAGCTGCCGGTGGATCGCCCACGTCGGCCGCGACACGTACACCGATCTGCACCCCTTGACGTTCCGCCGGATCAGCTCGCCGATCACACGCAGACCACCTGTGCCACTCAGCACCTGCACTCACATCACACGCAGAGAGGGAAAGAATGCCAACACGAAACCCACACGGATGCATTTCCTTCTCTCGCACCTGTGCGCTTGCGATTCTCTGCTCCCTGACGGCGGCCGAGTCACTGCCGAACAACATGACCTGTGTGGGCGCCTTGAGCTCGTGCAGCCCGTCTACAGGCAGGTACTCCTTGTCGGTTGTGGTGTCGTTGGCCAGCTCCTGCTCGGCCTTGCGGACGATGGGGAAGACGTACGGCTCGCCCTCATCGGTCCTGTACGCCCCTCGGACGGCATTGACCTTCTCTCGACTCGTGTCCGCCTGATGGATGCGGGGATGGATGGATGGATGGATGGATGGACACACCACACACAGATGATGGCAGATGTGTGTGTGTGTGTACTTTGTATGCGCTCGTCAAGGCGATGATTGTGTCGTCCGGCGCCTCCGTGAGGCGCTCGAAGAACGACGACTGACCGCTGCCAACTGGCACTGCTGCCGCTGCTGTGTCATGGATGTCTGGCTGGGGGGGTGGCTCAGTCACACCAACAACACCAGCACTGGTGCCTTCGACAGGTGATGGCACTGAGTCAGCCGACACACACATCGACACTTCGCACGCGTGTGTGTTGTGGGAAAGGCGTGCAGGTGTGCCCACCTTTGGCTTTCTTGCAGAGGTGTGAGATGCAGAAGTGCAGCACATTCGACGGCCGGTCGGCGAGCAGCGCAGTCAGCAGATCCTCCTGCAAACGACAAGGGAGGCGAGAGATCTTGCACGAAAGTCTGATAGATGCATACGCTGCTCTGTGTGCGCTGTGTGCCGCCTCACCAGCACGGGATTAACGTGGTGCGTGATGAACGCCTGCAGGTACAATCAACACATTGAATCAACAGGAGGAGACAGATCCATGCCTGTCAAGTGATGAAGGACAATCGATTCCTTTGAAGCATCTACCTGGTGCTCTATTTGGATGTCCATCGCCGCAAGACCTTCAAGTGCGAGCTCGGATTTGGAACCCTTTAACCCAAACCCAGCGCCAGTCCAGCGGCACGTCCCGACGATCCTCATCCCTCCCTCGTTCAGCGCTCTTCCTTCGCTTCAGTGACGCCGTGGAGACCAGACGCCGCCCGAGACAGCATGCGCCACGCAAAAGCATCAGCTGGACACCGCGGCTATCGGAGGGTGATCTGTGCCTGAAGGAGCGAGGCATCTTGGAGGGAGGCTCTCGTGCCTTTCAGTCGCAGCGGCAGACCCGTGCAGTGTTGTCGGACCTACCTAAGGGCAAATCAGATCAGGATCAGTTGTCGGATTGCATGTTTGCACGGTGACTCATTGTGCTCGCGTGTGCGTGGCGGGAGCCTTGGCAGATAGTCGTCGTGGAATGGTCGCTTTTGGTCAACAAACCGTTGACGACCAATGGGTGTGAATCGTGGCTGGCTGTGCGTTGAGTGAGTGAGTGCTCTTTTTGTATCAGTCAGTCAGTCAGTCAGTTGCTTGCCTTCTTTAGTGTAGTCGGTGGGCGGCTTGCAGCACAGCAGCCTGTCTGTCTGTCTGTCTGCCTGCCTGTTTGTCTGTCTGATTGGGAGAGAGCAGGTCTTGTTGAGCGAGTCTGCTTGTTGCTTCTCTTTCTCTCTTTGTCCTCTTGCCGACGTCCACTGCGTGCACTGAGCGAGCGCACGTGTCTGTTATTCTCGCTTGTCTGTCTGTCTGTCTGTCTGTCACTCGTTCACTCACTCACCCACCCCTTCATTCATTCATTCATTGATTCATTCGTCAGCGAGCTCTCGTGGCGCATAGGCGGACAAGCCTGTATGTCGCGAGTGGTGCATTCGGTTGTTGTGTGTGGCATCGCTCTGCTCGGCTTGCTGGTCGTCTACATGGGGGGTAAC